TTCTGTGGTGGTGGGGGTCCAGTGAAAGCCATTCTTACGAGATTAGCGGGCACAATAGAACACAGTTTACACGGAGTGACCGGGAGGAGAGCGACTGACGCGGCTAGGTTAGCGGCTTCTTCCCTCCCGTGGCAGGTCACGTCATATTACATTAAACCAATCACAGCTAGCGGGGGAGGGAGGTAAGGATGCGTGGCCCAATCACAGTCCGATACGTTATATGACGTCACCGATAACGCAACACCGACATACTGTGCAACCTTACTCGCGCCGCTTACCCAAACATGGTGGGATGACGGGAGGTTTGAATCCAAAAATGGCGCGGCGCGGCTGGACCGCCAGATGCTCTCCATGTAAATGACCAAATTTACCGCGTAAATCAAGCATTTCGATTCTGGCAAGGCACCGCGTAAATGACCAAAAGCGTAATCCAAAACCGCGTAAATCCAGACTCAACTGTGTGTATATCCATCCATCCATCCATCTATATATATATATATATATATATATATATATATATATATATATATATATATATATATATATATATATATATATATATATATATATATATATATATATATATATATATATATATATATATATATATATATATATATATATATATATATATATATATATATATATATATATATATATATATATATATATATATATATATATATATATATATATATATATATATATATATATATATATATATATATATATATATACTGTATATATATAATTGCAAAATAGTGGCTGAAACAATTTATTAGAGACTAGTAATTGGACAGAAATAGAATGCTGAAATCTTGTGCAATTTTATTGTTGTATTTTTCATGGACATACAAGACATTGTTGAAAGTAAAGTAGAGAAAAGCTGTGTAGTGTTGAGACAAATTGTACAAGTTTAGTCTGCTTGTTAAATGAGTGAGTAAAAGTGCCTTAAAGTAAGTAATATAATGGTATGAAAATACAGGAAGAGCAAGGTTGAATGATGATGTCAGAAAATGGTAAAGAAATTAAAATGAGGTAAAAAGCTGGATATCCTGATAAATAGTGAAGACAGGAAACCAAGGTGCAGTGCTTGTCCATTCACACAGAAGACAAATGTGAACAAGAAGGCACTTCGGCATAGTTTGTAAAATATGGTTAAACTTTGTCAAACTCTGGATAGGCTAGAATATAAGTGCATATTTCTGGAATTACAAAGATTTTAAAGACAGGTACCATAGTTTTGATGTAGAGAAAGACTGTCTTCTGTGTTAGTATGGGATGGCCAATGTTACCCACTGAGATGAAGGGAAATTATTTTTATTTATCTGATTTATATTTCCACTGGATTTTTAACTGTTAGATATAGCAGAGCTTGGTGACATACTGTACTGGTGTCAGGCCATTGTGTTAGGGTTATCAAGTACTGAAATATGTAATTAACTTCATAGCCATTAACTTTTAAATTAATAATTTTGAAAAACCTTCAAGTATTACTGCATAGAAAATAGTATGTCCCTGGGATAAACATAGATATAAAAAAATTAATAAAAAATATTTCAAAGGCCAGTGTTACCAACCCCAGGAATATACAGTAATGTTTTCTTGGGGGGTATGAAATTACCTCGTGTGTTGTGCTTCTCAAGGCTCACAAAACTTGAAGATAAGAAAGTTATTCTTCTACCAGGAGACTCTCAGGCCAGACTTCCACTCACTGCCTTTTTCAAAATTATGATAATTTTGGGTCATTCGGTTTTGAAGTTATGCTGCGGTTAATAGTAAATAGTTAGATACATACTGTAGCCCTGACTGCCCCACTCACTAACCCTTTCAGTGTTAGTGAGTACGTACAGTAATTATCAATATCTCAGTTTTCAAAAAGTTTTGTTGATATACACACACAATATTTTTAATACTTGTACTGACTCACTGATAGCCTTGTGTGGAAAGAAATGGTACTCATATCTGTCCTTGATTATTTAAATTCTGAATGTATACAGTACATATATAAATATTTAAAAATGTCCAGTAATGTATCTTGAGGTTGTAACTTATAACTGTGTTTCATAACGTTATGCGCTGCTTCTGGCTCAATAACTTTTTGCGCCTTTTCTCAATACAGTACATGATTATGGTAATCTACATTTTCCATCTTTTTTGTCTACCCTTCTTCACAATGCTTAGTGTACAGTCTTTAGTAAAAATCTTCCAGAGATATTAAGAGAAGAATTTAGTATTTAGTTGTGTTCATTTTCAAATAGTCACTATGTAAGTCAAGCAGAATTGTCCTGATTATTTTATCCAACTTGTTGGAGCACTGAGGCTGTGTTTGCTGAAGAAGTATTTTATATCCCTAAATGTAAATCAATAAAGCACCTGAGGTAGGTCAGGTGATTTTTGAGAGAAACATGTCTGTCTCCCTGCCTGTTTCAGAATGTCTCTAGACTGTACTGCACAGGCTGAAATAATTCAGAGGAGTACGGTGCTGTATATTTATGTAATCTTTATTTGCCAGATAGTAACAGAGTCCAAGAAATGAAGTTTGCATATTTTATTTAAATATCAGTAGAAGAACTGAAACACATTGTTTATCAATATTAACTTAGGTACAATAAGATCCCGCTTAACAAGTGAGGTGTCTTCCTGAAAGAGGCTTTATTAAGTGAATTCTCATTCATTGGAACCCATTCCCACCCAAAAAATTTTGACAGAATAGCCCATGGTGTAAATTTAGATTTGCTCCAGCCCAAAGAATTTTGTTTGACCCAAAGATTGATCACTGGTGTGGTACAGTCTCGCCCAAAAGTTTGTTAACTCTCCCAGCCAGCTATTGCTGCACTGACTGCTTCAGATGTTTGAAACTGTCTCAGTACCAACCAAGACATGAAATCGATACGAATTAATCTAAAGGTTCGAAGTAACAGACTCAAGTTTATACATCTGAAGCAGGCAGTGCAGCAATAGCTAGCTGGGAGAGTTAACGAACTTTTGGGTGAGACTGTACAAGCACATGAATAGCAATATATCATCTGTGGTATTGGGAACATCTTGAAGTAGCTATTATCATGAAAAGAATCTGTCATAAACCGTATGAAGACTGGAATTATTTGAATTTATTAGGACATTCCTTAATTTTTTTTTAATGTTTATTGGTGAAGACGCAACATGAACGAGCAGCATCTCGTGGGTGAACATCTGCTGCACAATGGTTGTGATGTCGCTATACATGTCTGTGTATATAGAATGTTTTCATTGATTCACGAGGGCAGTCTGGAATTTTATTACAATAACATTGTGATAAAACAGAACATTTTGGCCATGAAAATTAAATTGTGATTAGTTGAAACTACATGTATATGTGATTTGCAATAAATGAGGACTGCCTTATAAAATTTCATTTGCAGCAGTTAGGTCACTGTGCCCTTGGATTTCAAGGTCATGTTCAAATTATCTTAATTTATTGCATACAGTATGTCCTTAAGCCATGGCTGTTGTTTTATAGTTCAGGTTGCTTACTATGGATCAGGGCCTCCCTACCTTACCCATAATGCAAGTCAAAGTTTGTGTACCCATTTAGATACACCTCTCCCTTCCCCACACACCATCCACCTCAAGTAAGGGGGATTAGGTGTAGCAGTTCTCTCTAAGGGCGAGGAGGTCTTCTTTCAGCAAAGTCTGTCCTGTTAGCACTCATTGTACCAGTTACAGTCTGGCACATTAATTTTGAGGTCATTCTACCATTTTAGCCCTTTAGTTGCGGGAGGTTATCCTAAGATGAATAAAATCGTCTGGCAATAGCCAGAATAAAATGGCAAGTGCAGGAAACGCAGTGAAAGGGTTAAAATTCAGTTAGTTGACTGTGATTGTGAAATTATATCAGCTGAGGAACACATCAACCGAGAGAGAAGTGTCTTGTTGGCTGATAGTACCCTGGTCAGGAGACCCTCTAGACACCAACATGATCACTGTTGCCATCCAAAATAAGTTGGATAATATGAAGAGGACACAAAATTAAAGAGCCCTTTAGGTGTCCATAATACCATTTACCTCTTCACAAAGTACCTCTCCTAGCATATGCTGAAATACTTCCAGAGGTGTTCACTTTCTTCCAACACCCATCAGTTCGAGGAGTATGAATAAATCCTAAAACCCACGTTCATAAAAGCTGTAAGCCTTTCCTAGAAAGAGTACTCTCACAAGGAACAAACAACTTTCCTATTCTTCCTGGTAGGAATTGGTATCTGCAAAGTCTTGTAAATTACAGTACACTGCCACCCTTCCTATTGTTCTGCACAGCAGGGAGGGTTTATCCAGAACTCCTTAAAACAGTTGTAGGAGTTAATGCCTTAAGATTTATGATGCAGCAACCCATTTGGGGATTTTGACATTCCAAGCAACCAGACTGACACCCCCAAAAGATGACAAGCAAGCCCATCCCAGAGAAGACTGGTATTTGTGAATGAATTTGGATATTTTAGGTTCATCTAAGAGATTAACTGAGGAGAAAAAGCAATTTGAGTATTTTATCTCACAACCCTTCAAGTAGGGAAATTTCCAAAGTGATTACTAAATACAGTATGCAGCCTGTGGGGTTGGGAGATTTGTAAGATACTGCTTACCAATATTCTGTTATCAGGTTAACTTAATCTGAGGAAGATATGCATTATGAGAAAAAAACACGGTTTGCTTGATTTTAGTTGCGCTCTACAGTGGTTGTAGATTAAGCTGGTTATCATATTTTTTTTGTATTATTAAAAGGCTTTATGTTATTAAACACCATGGATGAACAATCTTGGGAAGTTTTGTTAAGTGTTATAACTGCAAAAGAGATTGAAAATTTAAAAAAATTAACCAAGTGCCAAATTTTTATTTCCTGGCAATAAGAACAGATGATGCAGTGATAATAATAGATACTTTTTGCTGTAAAATTTTAAAGAAAATATTTAATTAACGTTTCTTGGTGGCTGTACTGTATCACTAAAATTTTTTATTTCCATCAGGTCATGGTGCTGATGTCAAATGTGTGGACTGGCATCCCTCTAAAAGTTTACTGGCATCTGGCAGTAAAGACAACCAACAACCTATCAAACTTTGGGATCCTCGATCTGGCCAACCTCTTGCAAAGCTGTAAGTATATTGTATCTTGATAAATTATTGTTCTTACTTTTGGTACATGACAATCTTGTACTTACTATATTATGAGTATTGTTGCATCAGTTAATTTTCTTATTCTCTGCCACTTTGAACTTGTTTTTTAATCTTGTCATAAAATCCCTTTATCGTCATCAGATATTTTTGTATAAATTACTTGGTACAGTATTTGTTACAAAGCTAGAGTAATAGCTTTGTTTCTGATTATATTTACAATAAACCTGTACTGTACTTCATAATGCTGATATTCTGAGTATCACCACTTGCTCTACTGTAGCTGTTTTAGGGGTTTCCTTCTTGTGCAAATTTAAATAGTAATAAAAAAAAATTATTTGTAACATTGATGTAAAGATTAATACTATCTCCCTTAATCCCTTCTAGACATGCACACAAAAGCACAGTAATGGACTTGAAGTGGAATGCAAATGGCAACTGGCTTTGCTCAGCATCCAGAGATCATCTCCTTAAGCTTTTTGATATTCGTAATCTGTCTACAGAGTTCCAGGTCAGTTGAAGTTATCTTTCTTTATTGGTGTTGGTAAAATATGTATCAAATTGTTCACCAACTTGCCCATGGATTTTGAGGGCTCAGAACAGTCTTGACCATGGTAGTACAGTATGGTGTATGAGTAGGGAAGGGCCTCTTATCTTGACTGTGGTGTTAAGGGATGCTGGCTTCTTCAGGAAGAATACCCGGTAACTGCAACTGTAATAGGACATCAAAATTCTTCTCACTGTTGTGTAAAGATGCAAAAGATGGAAAAGATGCAGTAGCTTTGTGCATTAACAGTGTTTGGGTCACATCTATACCTTTCTGTGAATTTGTATAAAAAAAAAGATCCTTGTACAGTAGATATATATTGCTGGTAGGTGTCTGATTATAATATTTATGCAGTTATATAATGTTCACTAAAGGTAAATTAAATTTATTTTATCCTCTACCTATAATACTAACAACTTGTTAACATGGGCCAAGTGTGAGCAGGCATAAGTTACCTCATGTTTTTGTGTGACTAATATTAATTTCCAAATCTCTATGAAAACAATAATATTTTTTGATTGATATTGGTAAATTTACACAAAGATAATCAAGCTATTGGGCTTTCTAAACTTCCCTCCTATGGCTTCTCTCCCCCACTTTGTTCTCTAATCTCTAGCTTCCTTGAGAACCGTCCAATGGCAGTTGTTATCGAAGGATCAATCTCTCGCTCTTTCTCTACCACTAGTGTCCCACATGGTTCTGTTCTTTCACCTACTCTCTTCCTTCTTTTTATCAATTATTTACTTCACACTACGACTAATTCTATCCATTCTTACGCTGATGATTCTACTCTTCGCTCTTCTTCACATTTTCCCCTTCCCCTAACTCTCCAACTAGATCTATTTCTAGAGCTGATATCATTACATCTGTCAATGTGGATCTGTGCAGCATCTCCAAATGGGGAGGTAGAAACTTGGTTAAATTCAATAGTAATAAAACTCAGTATTTACCAATTACACTTTCCAAATTAGATGATCTCCCACGAATTACATTTGAGGACACAATCATTCTGCCAAATTCTAAAATAGATATGCTAGGCCTCACCATTTTCTCCTTTATGTCATGGAAGTCACACATCCTCAACATTGCTAAAGCTGCCTCCTGAAAGCTTCGCCCTTACTTGGAGTACTGCTTTTATATCTGGGGTGGCTCTTCTGTCCAACTGTTAGATAGGGTGGAATCAAAGGCATTTCGTCTTATTAACTCTTCTCCTTTAGTTGACAATCTTTCTTCCCTTTCTCTTCATCGCAATGTTGCTTCACTCTCTCTCTCTCTCTCTCTCTTTCTTTTACAGGTACTTTAACTGGCAATGTTCAGTGGATTTGGCATCCTGTGTACCGCCGGCAAGGCCGTGGGCTCGTAACACACATCTTGCCTGCAGTGCCCACCATTTCTCTGTGGATGTCGGTCACTCTAGAATAACCTGTTATAGTACATCCTTCTTTCCTCACACAGCCAAACTGTGGAATGTTCTGCCTTCTTCTGTGTTTCCATACTCATACAATCTTTCTCACTTTAAAAAGCTGGCCTTCCGGCATCTTCGTGGTGTAGATTAACACAATATAACCTTTTTGTTCTCTATTTTCAATTTCTTTCTGTTCTTTTTTTTTTTGCCCCCCAGGCCCCATTGTGGGTCATTTGACCTGTGCCCGGGTGGGCTAATTCCCGTAAAAACAAAAAAACAAAACACACACACACCTCAGGCAGCTGGTTGACTGCCTGGCTGAACTATATGGCATTGCTTAGATGATGGTTTGAGTGTGGGAACAGCTATTTTTTGTACATATAACATATGCTATTGTATTTTATGATATATACTATGTATCAATTTTATTGTTTATCATAGCAATTTTTTTTTAAAGCATTTAGAGCGCTACTGGTGTCAGACACACGAATAAATGACATCATTTGCATTTGGATTGTTGGACTAAATTTGAATTTTTATCAGAGGGGACATAGTTGGGATACCTGTAAGATTCCGAGATTTGGAATTTGGATAAAATGAATTGCACTGTAGATTAAATAAAGTCTATGACATTGGATTTACCATAATTGTGGAGCTGTTTTTCATATAGTAGCTGACCTGACATGAATGGGGGAGGTTGTTGGGTGTTAATGGGTTAGTACTGTCGGAACCAAATTTTACCAGGAGTGCTGAATATTTATTCTGGTGCCCTAGATACTCAATGGTGCAATGTATAGTACATGTACAGAAGCTAAAACAACTATCTGTGCATACTTTGTGGGAAACAAAATGAGACCATGGTCGATAAATTTAGGTATATGAGGGCTGTCACTAGTCACACGTAAAATTTTCGAGCATATCGACCCCCACCTGCACAGATAGTTGTTTTAGCTACTGTACATAGTTCCAAAAATATTGGAGTGCTACAGTACACTCCCTTCAAGCATCCATATACTTTGTGAAGTGAGCTAGCGTGCACCCGACCACAACAATAACAAACACCAGACTGACCAAGCTTGGAGTGTGGCGAGCGTTACCCACACAGCCAATTACGCCAAGATTTTCCCAGATAATTTTATATAACTCGACTTTGCCAGAGTTATTTTATCATAAATTCTGAGACCATCTCTGTGCCAAATTATATGACATTCCGTGATATCGATGCCGAGTTATCAAGGGTTTACTGTAGTACAGGATAATGAACCGTCTGTACAGTACTCATTGCTGTAACACATCAAAGTCACAACAATAACAGCGATGCACAGTGATCAATAATATATGGAATAATATATTAAAGCACAGAACGCAGCATTTAAAGACAGGCTGTAAACACTAGTGTAGTGACGGCATGGACTGTGTTCTTTGCTGGGAAGGCTAGATAATGATTTCTCAAATAATTTCTAAAATTCAGGTTAGTTTAATCATAAGTATTTTATATATCTTCTCCCTTGCCAAGTGCATCAGCGTCAGCCTTGAAAACCCAATGTTGCCACGATCTCGGAGTGGGCCGGGAGACATATCACACTTGGCATTTATTTTGCATAACTTTATTTTGTTACTTCCTCTTTTTTTTATATTAGACTCATGATTATTTAATACTGGTGAGTAGAAAATGGGATTCAAACATATTTTTTTTATTTACTTATATGTGGCAATTCTAAATGGAATGAGATTAGCAGAGGCCGCTGCTCCACAGCAAACATGTCATGGTGAGTTTCAGGTATCACTTACATAAAATTAAAATAACTTACATTTACATATTTCTACACGTATTTGACTATTTATTGTAGTCAAATATGGAGATATTATTCACTGAGGCAATTTTTCTGGGTCTGCCCTTTATATATTCTATCAGGTAAGGCACAAATTTATACAGTACAGTACAGGGTTATCACATATACACTATCACAATCCTGCCACTGCACAATGTTGTGCTGATACTGAACCCAAAATAATGACAAATTACATATATTTTCACTATGTACAAGATTTGTGTGAATTTTATAATTTTCATGGACATACAGTATAAATTACTGTAGATATACACCCTAAACATGGTGTCCCTTACCTTAGCGGATGTTAATCTTTGCCCTAAACCTTGTACAATAGGGGTATTGTGTGACAGTAGAGATGCCCACTTACAGTACTGTACAGAATCCCAATTTTTTCGACTTCCTTCCCAGATTTTTCCCAGTGATTTGAAGATCGCTAAACTGAACAATTACAGATTTTTAAACAACAAAGGGCATTAAAAAATTTAAATCGCTAAACCGAATTATCACAAAGTGAATGATCACTAAACGACGGATACCTGTTTAATAAAAACGATATGACAACTTTTTATTTTAATTATTAGTATTTTTATTTTTTTAGATTTCATCTATCTATGATCGTAAATCATGTGTAGTGGGCAGGGTATGAAATATGAGGGAAATTGCTGGGTAAAAAACAGTGAAAAACTGATCATATGACAGTAAAATGATGACTACGTCCTTTATACGTGAAGAAATTAATTGTTTGCCGTAAAAATTCCACTAAAAATTCTGCCGTGTCATTGCATGTTGTCATCTGCTCCTTGTTTATTTCTGTGCAACAACCAAGCCACTCAGTTCAAGCATACCCTCGAGTCCAAAATTTTTTTAAATTATACCATGCCACTTCAAGAAAGTTGCTTTCATTGGTACCAGATATGAAAGTACTGTACTGTAAATACAGTAGACACTCATTTTACCATGCTTGAGGGGTTAAGCCCTAACCACGGTTGGGGTTCCTCCCCCAGGAGAAATTTTTTTTAACGAGCTATAGTACTAACAAAACTATATGTGAGGGCTGTGTATCACCACCATTATCATTCCATTCTATTCCTGCTTTTTTAGTGGCTAACTATAATATCTTTCAGGCATATAACTCAATAAATGTCTGTCTGTCAGGGGTGTAAACTGGTGGTGTTAATGTCATGGCTGGCAAGGTTCATGAGCTGTGTGGCTGGGTCACGTGTGCCCAATTACCTTGCTTACAAATATTTATGGCACTTGATACACTTGGAATTTTGGTATTTATAATACAAGCATACAGTATTGTTTTCAGGCTTGTATGTTTTAAAATACTAAAATTTAGTAGCTGCATCAAGTGCCATAAATATTTATGTATAAGCAAAGTAAAGGCGTTTTCGATGCACGGAATGGCTAACGTGTTAGCTGTTCTGTATGCGCAGACGATGCTTTTGAGTTGTGAGCATGACACTTTAAAAGGAAAACGCTAACACCTCGATCAGGCATTAACCTTCTCTAGCGTCCAAGCGGCCCAAATAGCTAACAACCAATCAGCGATTCTCCCACTGAAAATACACGGATCATGGCCGCTTATGGAGAATATTTTGATTAATATTGAAGAGTTGGGGGCATGTAAGGCAATAAAAAACTGTGATATAATAATGAAAATAATTCTATATACGGTAGTATATTGGATAGGACCTAAAACAAAGCGTAAGGCGTGAAAGATTTGAAAAGGTTTGCGCCTAGTTGAAACCAGTTTTGGCTCCACCTATTTTTAAGTGAGCGTGGTCCTATTTCATTAACCGTTAGTGAGTTTGGTGCAAAAATATTGATAATTACTCAAATCTGTTTGAATCCTTAATATCACTACTCATAAGATACTATAAATAAGGGTGAACAATTTGATTACAGTTCTGTAAGTGGAAAAATTAATACATAATGAACCTGAAATTCGTCATATTTCGTGTACAAATATGTGAACACCTAGCCGCGAGAGAAGAAGTGTACAGCTGCTTGTTACGTGTGGTTTCAGAGTCCGGGAGAAATTTCCTTTACAACGGGCCAAATTTTTTTTTATTCTTATTTATTGTTGACTAATTGACTTTTTTTTCTTTTTTTTCTTTCTTTCCATAATTTTTAATGTATTTTCTTCACTATTTCTTTCTGTATTATGTCCAAATAACAGTTATCCTAATTTTATTGTTTTCTGAAGACTGTGTTGTGCAACAGCTATTCCCAAGATATGGTACAATGTCGTATTTTTTAATGACAGTCCGGAAAAGCTAACATGTTAGCTATTCTGTGCATCTTAAAACAACTTCCAATAAATGGCTTGAATTTCTCCAATCACAGTCCGTGCTGCTGGCTGCCCATGGCAAAGTTGCCACATTTCTTATTTTACTTATGTCTACCAAATATCTCGAAAAAATTTTGGCAGTTAAAAATTAAAAACTTAATAGAAGATAAAAATGATACATTTGTGACTAATGTTAATTTACCAAGCCAACGTACATAAAGCTATCTATTGCATTAAAGTGTGTGTGGTTGTCGACTGAACAGCTGATTCGCACTCCGTGTGGGTGACAGCAGCGCACGGAATGTAAGGTTGTCAAACACAAACATAAGGTCGAATCTTGGAATTACTGTACAGTATATACATTACTTTTATTTCTATAACATACTGATTTTATAGTTTATATAGACGAATTTATTGAGTTAAATTATCATACATTTTTCACATTGGTTCAACATATTTTGTTTAATACTAAATGTACTAGAGGGAATATTATCAAAGAACATGACAAAGATTTATCGAGTCAAATCATGCAATGCGCAATAATCTTACGTAACTCGTAACCTATAAAATCATCATACAATATGCAATAGTACACTACAAGATGAAAGCGAGTAGCCTAGATCCACATACAACATTGGACAGTGAGTGTGATCGCTATCGTCGCTTTCACCCCTTGCCCACTAATTCTTGTACAAACTGCAGCGGGAAATTTTAAAATGAATTATCTTCCAGACACGCTTAACAGGTGTTTTATGTGGTTAAATAGTAGTTTTGGTTTCAGTTAATAAAACATGGTAAAGCCCTGGCTGAGATAAACAATCGGCGGTAAAATGATCGTTTACTGTACTTTCTGTTTAATTTTGCTGGGGGGAGGGGGGGGGTCCCCCTGGCTAGAAAGTTAGGTAAGGTTAGGTAAGATTCTTTAGTTGGTTAGGTCAGGTTCTATTAGTTTCTGTGCATTGTTGTATTGTTTTTATTAATTTCTATCATCCAAATAACATCTGTGGAAACAAATTTACAAAATTGAACAACTCTTTCTGATGGTAGTCATCAACTCCACCTTTACCAAGTTAGCCTCTCCCTTTCATGGTCACCTCTAGTGGGTGGCCATTAAGTAAAAAGAAAATAAATAAATAAGAACATTTATTGTGATGAGAATATAGTTTACCAGAGAAGGTGACATGTTAGGAGTACATAAATTCCGTTTCTGTTTGGCAGTAACAAAATTTAATCAACCATTGACATTTTCTAGGTCTTTCGAGGTCACAAAAAGGAAGCTTCGTGCATTGGCTGGCATCCCCATCATGAGGGTCTGTTTGCTAGTGGGGGCTCTGATGGCTCTATACTCTTCTGGCATGTTGGGTGGGTATTTTTAAATTTTAATGGTATTTTCTTATAGTACTTACGTCTGTTATATAATTTTTACAATCAATATATGGTTTCAAATACACACAATATTCAACTTTAATCGATTTCTGTGAGTATTCATTCATCAGATCTTTCACCTTTCAACTCACTTCCTTGCTGTATTGCTTAAGACTTGGTGTTGGTAAAATTTTAGATGGTATGTGAAGTTAAAGATTGTACAAGTGATGTCTCCATTATCCGGAACAATTGGTGCAAAGCACTTCCGGGAATGAGGATTACCGGGTAACGGGACAACTTTCTCAAAGCCATAAAAATATTCCTCATCCCCGGAATTTTCTGGCTACCAGAAATTTTTTTGGGGAATTTCCGGAAAATGCGCCTGATTTTCATATCTCAAATCCGGAAAAAAAATCATCCATCCTTGGAATTTTCCGGGTTTCGGGAAAATTTTAGCGGAATATTCCAGAGAATGTGCCCCCTGGATAATCGTTCTGAAAACTGTAATTATCCAGAAAATTCTGGCTTTGGGAATGATTTTCCGAGAAAATTTCAATTCAGGCTGTTGGGTGAGTTCTGGGTTTGAGGGATTCCGGCTAATGAAGATATTACTTATATTTACATAATATTATATCATACATTAAGTAATACTGTTTTCTTACTATTAAACTTACTGTTGATGTTAAAGTTCTGTATTACAACTCAAGGAAAATTACTATAAAAAAAGGTGATGATGTTGATGATCATGGCTTAGACCCCTTTTGTCCATTCATTTGTAAGTAAAACACATTTCTGTATAACGTGTAGAAACAGCGAGGAAAAGTAAAATGAATTAGATGTAAATGGTAAGTAATGATAAAGTCAGGGTTGTATGTAAGAGATGGAAAAATATTTTATAGTGAATTTATTGTCAAAGAATAAAAGGAGTGAGATTATTACCACAGGGCAAGAAAGGAAGTATTCTATGAGGCATGAGAGAATATCACCACAGAGGAATATTGTGGATGAGCAAGCAATGAAGGTGGTAGAGAAAGGAAAATATGACTGTGGGTTGTAATGGTTCATAAATCTGTTCATGCAATGTGTGTGAAAGCCTAGGGGGAAGGTAAAGAACATAAGGATTGGGTGAATGCAGTGATCGAACCACTGTGCAGGAGGAAAGATGTCAGATGTGATTATAAAACTTTAGGGATATAAGTTATATTCAGTGTGTGAGATAGAGAAATAGATGGAGCAGTGGGGTTTGAAATTGTAATGGAACTAAAGAGGTTGGAGTAAGAACCCTAATTTTAGATAGCTATGACTGAAGAAGTGTTTCAAGCATATGGTCTAGTGACTGAAGCAGTATTGTTGACTCAGTGGAAAAGGGTTCAGTGTACTAGTAAGTATCTGAAAAGTATTGGAAATGAGGGTAAAGGAATGAATGTTATGATACTGTATTAGATAGAGTTCTGATAGGCAAAAGTGTGGCAGTTTGCCAAAATATATAGTTAATCTATTCTGATTCTTGAGTAATACTGATTGACTTGAAGAATGATAAAATGAGTTTATGTAAGACATGGTTATGGAGTGAATTAGAATGGACACAGAGAAGCAGAACTATGAGAGGAGCTCAGTTTAAAGAAAAGAGAAGGAGGTGCTAAAAAAGTGAAGGCTGAAATGATTTATGGAGTGCTTATAAGGAAAAGATGGATGGAAATAGAATGGTAAACTCAGTACGGTACAGTAAACCCTTGCTATTTGCGAGTTTGTGATTCGTGATTTCGACTTTGTGATAAACCCGCAGCGCAACAAGTCACCCCCACACGCCCGCAGCATCTCCTCTCACTCCTCTACCTTTGTTTGCACTCAACCATTACCTGCAATGCAACATCTCTTGTGCTGTACTGAAAACTTTAGTGTTTGTGTGAAATGGCCCCTAAAAGACTGCCTTGTGTCAGTGCTAGTGAAGCTTGTGGAGTGAAACATTTAGAGACCTCAAAGCCAAAGGGAAACAACTACCAATCACGGTGTGTTTCAAGAAAGAACCAGCCGTTTACCCAGCTGATTCATCTCTGAGTCAACTGCTGCCTCCGCTCCACCACCCACCCCACCACCCTGCTCCTCACCACGTGCCACCCCAACACCCGCCTCCTCGCCTCTCCACCGTCAGCCTCTCCACCATCAGTCTCTCCATCAACCACTACTGCATTACCCTCTTCCAACAGTGATCCTTATGATCTCTTTATGCTTCAGTAACCATATTCTATTCTACTGTACAGAACTCCTCACCAAGCTCCAAACTTCCACATATGAAGGAGAGTAATATGGGTGACTTAAGTCTCTCATACGCAGTATAGGTATACAGTAGTGCATTAAGGTAGTATAAGTTGCTATTCATGGTTTTGCCAATTCGCGCCATTCCTTGGAACCTAATTGCCGCAAATAGCAAGGGTTTACTGTACATGTAGATATTATTCAGGTGAAAATGATGTAACTCATGAGCGAGACTAAGAATGAGATACAATAATATAGTAAAAAGTTTTTGAACAAGAGAGGTGTAATTGTGATGGTGTGTACAGAGAAGTGCTAGGATAGACTTAGAGGGGATTCTGTTCTTGCCTTCCTACAGTATAGTATGAAAGAGTGTTTATTGGACTTATTTGAATCATATTGAATTTTAATGGGTTATTATTTCTTCATCAGGAATGATAAGGAAGTTGGTGCTATTGAGTCTGCCCATGATGGCATTATATGGGATTTGGCTTGGCATCCTCTTGGCCACATTCTGTGCTCTGGTTCCAATGATCACACCTCAAAATTCTGGACAAGAAATCGGCCTGGTGACAAAATGAGAGACAAGTACAACTTGAATACATTACCTGCTGGCGTACTTGCTGATGACTCAATGGATATTGGTAGGTCTTTAGCTCAGTTTTAATTTAATCTTGTTACCTTGGAAATCTTAAAAGCCTTTAACAAAGCTTGGCATCAGGGAATATGAAATTTTAATCAGGAGGTATCCAGTTCATTTGGAGAAGGCAGAACAAATGTATTAAAATTATTATATTAATATGCTGTATTTATGATTGTACTCTTACATTCATAGCTGAAAAGCCAGTAAGATAATTAATTTCTAGAAATATGGCCAATCATTTTCAATGCCTCTGCGATTACACAATGAACTCAGTGGTAAATGCAGTCCCCCATTTTATTATGTCTGGAACAGAAAGTGGGAACACTCCTATGATAAAATAAAATTTGACCTCTCCTTTTTCAAGCTTGATACCCTTCACCAAGTGGTCTTTTGGTCTGAATCTTTGCAATGGCATTATTTCCAACATGATTCAACGACTTATGGGATCCCAATTAAAAATTTTATCAAGTTTAATTGAACATATGGCCTCAGGGCATTTTGGTGTGGCACCTTACCTTCTTTCTGTGTTCAACTGGGAATGTGGCAGTTAGGCTAACTCTTTTATCCTTATTGGGTCATAAGGTTTCGTGATATCCTGGACATCACATTCTTCTGCATTTTCCCTCTGACTCTCCATTGCTGTCTTTGACATTGGGGGAGCTGTGACAATACCACCTATTCCTATTTTTCTAGCTAGCTGTTGTTAACAAGAACAACCTGTGCAGGATATTAAGCTAGAAAATGAGGATTGATCCTGAAATCCTATGTACTAATTAACCCACTGGCAGGCAGCTCACACACCCTCCCTCCTCACCCTGGTTTAGGGTTAGTCAGCTGGGAAGTAAATACAAAATAGCAAATTGGACCTGAAATCAAGATGGAGATCCAATATGATTGTGTTAAGTGTGAATTGGCTAGGTTGACAAACATGTAAAACACCCCCTGCCTCTAGAGAGTGAACCTTTTAGCCAAATTTCCTTTAGTTAGTGAAATTTATGATAGGCTGGGATGGATGATCGTAAAGTCAGCCCTCAGCTGTCAGTTTAGGGTGCAGTTTTAGACCCCCAAAATGCCTTATACTGTACTGTACATTAACATGGCAATAGGTTTAGCTAGAAAATCACTCCGTTCTTTCTGACAGTGATTTCCACTTCAACCAACTGACAAATATAACCATTTAATTGACGAAAGGCTAATTATTGCTTATAAATGCATAATACTGTACAGATAATTTTTTGTTTTTGTTTGGTAATCTTCTTAAAACCCTTGGATCTATCCCGGAGACTTATTTATGTAATTTGTAAGTTAGCTTGCAAAATTATGTGGATGGTCACACATCCACAATATTGCTAAAGCTGCCTCCCAAAAGCTGGGAATGCTGTACATATGCCACAGCTACTTCACTCCTGAGCAGTTGCTTCAACTTTATAAGGGATTTATTCATCCTAACTTGGAGTACTGTTCTCATATCTGGGGTGGCTCTTCTTCTGTGCAACTGTTAGATAGGGTGGAATCCAAGGCATTTCATCTTATTAACTCTCCTCCTTTAGTTTATAATCTCTCTTCCCTTTCTCTTTGCCGCAATGTTGCTTCACTCTCTCTTTTACAGGTATTTTGATGGGCAATGTTCGGTGGATTTGGCATCCTGTGTACTGCCGGCAAGGCCGTGGGCTCGTAACACTTGTCTTGCCCGCGGTGCCCACCGTTTCTGTGTGGATGTCGGTCACACTAGAATAACTCATTATAGTACATCTTTCTTTCCTCACACAGCCAAACTGTAGAATGCTCTGCCTTCTTTTGTGTTTCCATACTATTACAATCTGTCTCGTTTCAAAAAGCTGGATTTCCAGCATCTTCATGGTGTAAATTAATATACAGTAGTCTTTTTCTCTTCTATTTTTAATTTATTTTTACTCTTATTTTTGCCCCCCCAGGCCCTTTTGTGGGTTGATGACTTGTGCCTGATTGGGCTATTCCCTGTAAAAAAAAGATACTGCTGAAGAACATGGCAAATGATTGAAGCGAAAATGGTAACTACAGAAATCCAAAGGCGTGAAAAGAAAGCATAACTTATTGAAGTTTACTATTTCAGATGATATTCCACTGAATTCAAGCTTAACATCACAAGGAGTTATCCCTGGCATGGGTCCTGAAGACAAGGTGGAAGAGGCAGAATCTACTGGACCAGAAACTATTCCTGGGTTGGACTTTGATAGTGGTGGCTTTGACAGGTGAGTTGCATCAAGATTTAAATATTTACTGTGTTATTTTGAAGTTATATATGAATGATAGATTAACTGTTATTGACTGCATAGAGGAAGTACAATGTTGTTTATCCTTTTCTAATGTCGAGTGTTTAAAATCAAGTTAATTTTCTTTTATGGTGTAGTGTCACTTTAGCATTGGTAATTTTACTGCTGTCCTTCAACCATTTTATGTGCCTAGTGATGAGTGGCTAGCCTAAAATGTGGGTTGGATCTTGATATTGGCTGAGCTCAGAACTTGGAAGTTCAAAACTCTCTTTCTTCCCTTGGACATGTGTGGAAGACTAGGTATTACCGGATCAGTGAGGATGGTCCCGGGAAAGCTTGTCTTAGTTTTAGGAATAAAATGAGATCTTAAGATCAGTTCTTCATTTTGTCATTCATTTTACAGGTACTGTATTGGGTAAAATTAACACTTAGTCTGATTTGCTTCTCTAAAAGAGATACATCAAAATTGAAAAATGAACATAATTTTCAACCTACTTTGGGTATTACTGAACATCATCTTGATTAGTCCTTAACCATTCTATGTACAGTCATGTATAAAAGTCCTGTCTGCCTTCAGGAGCTTCCATGATTAATAGCCATAGGGCAGTGTAATCACTTGGCTGGCAGATTATTGAGTTGCTATTCACCACCCATAGATGACTCTGCCACTCACAAGCTACTTCACAGTGGTGCCAAATCTAGAAGCTCCATTTAACTTATGAAGAATGTGTGTGTCGGACACAGTGGAGATGGGGTTGTGCTAAATATATATTTTTTAATAATATCATTGTTGTAATATATATATATATATATATATATATATATATATATATATATATATATATATATATATATATATACATACATACATACACATACAGTCGGCCAGCCAGAGATACCAAAACTGAAAAAACCCTATGTCTTATTTACCATATATACCTGTAGTTCGAGTTTTTAAGACCAAATTATTTGGCAAAAATTGGGGGTCGACCTCTAAAAGGGAAATAGTTTCGTTAGGTTGAAAAATATTTACCAGTAACTACCAGTAAACAATGGAAACGATGCACCAATGCACCACCAGCTGTGAGTGTCGGTACAGTTGCCAGGGCAGATCTCTTGCGTCATCATAGCAAGCCCAAAGTAGCCAAATCCATGGTATGGAAGCACAGGACGATGTAAAACATAAAGTATTCATTTATTAAAATTTATTTATAAATACTGGACATAAATTTTTGTTCATTACATTTGAAACATCAATCTTTGTTAATTAAATTTGAAACAAAAGAAAACTACGATACCGTATTTTCATTAAAATATTACATCACAAGTATATTTTACCTTAACTGTGACTGAATGAATATACGTATTCTCAGAAATAAATATAGAAATGTAATTTTTTTGCTGGAATGACGAACATATTACAGTGGAAAGTGGGATAAAATTATGACGAAAACAATGACTTTCGCTTTCTTTCGTTATTCAAAAGATTTTACCGTAATCGCTTTTCGAATGGTTTTCAGTTAAAAAACTGTTGTACTCGTACTGTATTACAATAATATTCTATCCTATCATTAGCCTTATAATCCCACAACTGAAAACCATTCGAAAAGCGATTACGGTAAAATCTTTTGAACGAAAGAAAGCGAGTCATTGCTTTCGTCACTTTCCACTGTAATACGTACATCATTTCAGCAAAAATATTACATTTCCATGTTCTCAGAAATAAATGGTAGTTTTGTTGAAACGTAATGTACAGTATTTAATATTAATATGCAAAAATAGCTATAAAAACAATTAGTACACCCGTAATGTACTGGCTGGCATCTCGTCCCTGCTCCCGCGTCCAAGGTCACCACTCCTCCCAACACGCTCCCTCCGCTCCCTACCTCCGCCTCCTCCACCTCCTCACCGTCACTACTGCTGACAACAAACACAAATGTTTTGTGAATAACTGCACCTCCACTTCCTATGTACAGTACTGAACTGTACTGTGCTGTGCATTTTTACAAACAATAAACATGGCAAGAAAAGCTATTAAAAAAAAGAGATAAAAATTTCACTTTACTGTACAGTACCTATCCTCGGCGACAGGACGGGGGTCATCAGGCTCATCGTCACTCAATTCCATAACGGGTGGTGAAGTGGGGGCGACGGTGGATTCAGCTGCTTCCTCACTGCCGCCAGTGATTGATGGTGTTAAATCTCTCCTTCGGTGATCAAAGAACGTGGTGATGGGGAGTTGTCGTCTCTTTCATTCATTTCTTCCATGATGTTTTTGTATGGAGCGAAAACGTCATCCATCCCTCGCATGAATTTCAGGGCACGCACCATGGAGGGGTCCATACTATAGGCCAGGTTTTTCAGTGCCTCAATATTCCTGGTCATCTCCCCCAACTTCTCCAACGTTATTTCTTGGTGCTCTTCCTCTTCCTCATCCTCTTTCCCTTTCGCTTCCTCTTCCTTGCCTGAGTCTACTAACTCCTGTAGATCCTCCTCGGTCAGCTCAGTGTCGTGCTCTTCAATTAGCTCCCTAATCTCGTCCTCTGCCATGTCCTGGAAGCCTTCAGCAGCCACTTTCCTTGACAGTGCCAGGGTCTTTCTGAATATTTTCATTAAAATCCATCAAAATCATTTTCCTTGTCATCGTCTTAAGCTATAAACAGCTCCTCCCAGTCTTCTCCTTGAACAGGGCTAGAGGGTACGTGTTTTTCGAATCGTTTTCAATTAAAAAAATGTTACATCACATGTATATTTTACTTAAACTGTGCCTGAATGAATATATTCTCAGAAATAAATAGTAGTTTTGCTGAAACGTGATGTATTTCAATGTAAAATAGGATAAAATACATGACGAAAACAAGAGACTTTACCTAACCTTCCGATGTTCAAGATATGTTACTCGTTTTTTTAGTAGTTTTCGGTTAAAATACTCTTATATTAGTGATATTCTATTCATACTGTGCTTGATATAATACATTCACGGAAATGTAATGTTTTTGCAACTACAATGCTGATGTCAACACAAGCGTGGTTACAGCGAGACTGACTGAGTGAGGGAGAGTTATGCGTGTGAGGTTGCGGGAGCGGGCGGTGTCCCGTGTTCGGTGCCGCGCGCGAGTTGAATTGCGCGCGATTTGAATGTACAGTTGGGTCTCACTTTACGCGGTTAATGTAACCCACAGGGTACCGCGGAAAGTGAGAAACGCGTAAAGTGAACAACATAACATATGGGATTAATTGAAATAGAGACCGGGCCGACCCCCAAACTCCACTTTTTGACGACACACAACTATGTTGTAGTAAAAATATTATCTTAACTTTATGATGGTATGCACACACAATTAATAATTAAGAGAAATAGCAAAAATATTAGGTTTTTTAACACTTACATTAGTAGAAAAGATGGCTGGGCACACGGAGATGGGCGGTTGATTCCGAGGCAGAGGGCAGATTATTGGCCCTCACCTGTATCACTTGTATCAATTGTATCACTATCCACCATAGAGGCTTTCAGGGCCTCTTTGTCAAACCCCTCAAAGTCCATATAAGTCCATATCCTCACTATAATTATCACTATCACTGACTTGGGCCGGCTGTGGTGGGTGGCGGGTGAAGAACTCTGTAATGTTATGATGACTGGGCGACCTTGTGCGCACCATGCTCGCACCGCTTACACAACATGGCGGATGGCGGGAGAGGGCGGGAGAGATGGCGGGAGGTTTGGATCCAAAAATGGCGCGGCTCGCCAGCCGCTCTCCGCGTAAAGGGGTACACGCACCGCGGAATGTGAGCATCCTGGGTTCCGGCAGGGCACCGCGTAAACGTGGAAACGCGGAATGTGGGACCGCGTAAAGTGAGGGTTGACTGTACTTCAATTACTTCAATGTACAGAATATTCCTCCGGCGGGGCAATCCGCGTATTTGCAAATCCGTGTATTATAAACCCACGTATGTTAAGGGCCGACTGTATATATATATCTGTATATATATATATATATATATATATATATATATATATATATATATATATATATATATATATATATATATATATATATATATATATATATATATATATATATATATATATATATATACAGTGGTACCCCACTTAACGCGGTCAATTGAACCCAGAGGGTCCCGCGTTAAGTGAAAACCGCGTTAAGTGAATAACAGAACATATGGGATTAATTCCAATAGAACCCAGCCCGACCCCCAAACTCCACTTTTTGACGACAAATAACTATGTTGTAGTAAAAATAACATCTTAATTTTATGATGGTACATGCACACAATTAATACTTAAGAGAAATACAGTCGCCAAGTTAATGTCCATTCAAATAATGGACTCAACTCCCTCCCCCTCTCACACTACACAGCCGGCTAACAGATGGTCGGTCGGTCCCTCCCTCCCCCCCCCACCCCCCACCAACCGTCCCAAGGAGATGTGTGGGATAACCTCAAACTAAAGTTAGGAAAATATAATTGACATTGCTGGATTCCTTGTAAGACCAGGAATATTTTGAATATAAATGTCATATAATTTGGACAAAAGATACCATAGTTACCTAGAGAAAAATTTTTATCTAAAAATTGTAAGTTTAAAGCAAAATATATGATGTTTATATTCAAAATGATCACCAAATTATAAGAATTCCAGCAATGTAAATTATATTCTGACCGGGTAATTTGTATGAATTTTATGAGCTAAAACAAATATCTTCAGTTAATAAAAAAATAATAATCTTCACGACACTATCTGTCAATCAAAGTACCCCACCTTGCCTCCCCCCCTCTTCCAACCGCGCGGTCAGTCCCAACCCTCCCCCCCACCCCCCACCAATCCTCCCTTCCAGAGTTTTTAACATTTAGTATTAAATAATACCTCAGATTAAAGTTAGGATAATATAATTGACATTGCTGGATTCCTTGTAAGACCAGGAATATTTTGAATATAAATGTCATATATTTTGGACAAAAGATACCATAGTTACCTAGAGAAAAAATTTTATCTAAAAATTGTAAGTTTAAAGCAAAATATATGATGTTTATATTCAAAATGATCACCAAATTATAAGAATTCCAGCAATGTAAATTATATTCTGACCGGGTAATTTGTATGAATTTTATGAGCTAAAACAAATATCTTCAGTTAATAAAAAAAATAATAATTCTTCACAGGGTAACAGATGGTCGGTTGGTCCCTCCCTCCCCCCCACCCCCCACCAACCGTCCCAAGGAGATGTGTGGGATAACCACTAAATTTTAATAAATAATACCTCAAACTAAAGTTAGGATAATATAATTGACATTGCTGGATTCCTTGTAAGACCAGGAATATTTTGAATATAAATGTCATATAATTTGGACAAAAGATACCATAGTTACCTAGAGAAAAAATTTTATCTAAAAATTGTAAGTTTAAAGCAAAATATATGATGTTTATATTCAAAATGATCACCAAATTATAAGAATTCCAGCAATGTAAATTATATTCTGGCCTGGTAATTTGTATGAATTTTATGAGCTAAAACAGGCAGTCAGGCAGGGTGGCGGGTGGGGCAAATCTAAAAATAGCGTCTCGGACACTCACCGCGTATATGTGGAAAAAATCCGCGTTAAGTGAAAGTTCAGCTTTGGCAAGGCACCGCGTATATGCGAAAACGCTTATGAAACCGCTAAGAAGGGTAAAACTGTGTATATATATATATATATATATATATATATATATATATATATATATATATATATATATATATATATATATATATATATATATATATATATAATTTTTTTTTTTTTTTTTTTTTTTAGTTATTGTTTGTATACTCTAGTCTAATAAGGTTAGATTTTTGTTTTTTAATTAATGATCCATTACCTGGGATTATGGGTACAGTAATTTGGAAAGACTTTGCTAAAGGTTTATTGATTTCATACTTTATCATGATTATTACCTAATAATAATAACAATAATACTGTAATAATAATTAACAATTTATTGAAAAAGTTCAGCAGCCCGAAGTCTGAAAATATACATTAGACAAAAATTACTTTTTTGCATACAAGGACATGGGGTGGGGGGTGGGTCATTTAACAAAAGCTTTCATTACTGAAAGGAGAATGAACATGAACATACAAATTATAGTTTACTGTTGATGGCTGAGGCTGGTCTCTTGCTCTACTGTATGAGGTCGCGCAGGCCACGTGGTGCAGTAACTCGTCCACAAGTGATGGTATGAAGGACCTCATGTGATCATGGAGACACTGGATGGTGTGGTGTTAACGTGGTGCAGTAACTCGTCTGTAGGTGTTGAAATGGAGGAACTCACGTGGTCATGGAGATGAACTGGCCCTTTAACCGTTGATTCTTGAGGGGTTAATTAGCTGGAACATGTAAAAGTACAGGTTGTACCTCTCTAGTCCGGCATTCTGTGGTCCAGAAACTCCCGTGGTCCGGAATGATTTTAGTTTGTCCAATAGGTAGATAGGCAGCTTTTTTTTTCTTTTTTTTTCTTTTTTTTTTTTATCTGAATTATTATTATTACAGGAGTATTAAATTTTTGCCCCTCAGGCCCCAATGTGGGTCAGTGACTTATGCACAGGTGGGCTAATCTCCTTAAAAAAAACAAACAAAGCCACGGGAAATTAAGGTTTGTTTACATCTGGCTGCTCTCTCTCTCTGTCTGCTTGTCTATACAGAGTACAACATTTAACCCTTCAATATATATGAGCAGTAAATAAGTGTTGCTTTCATATTCTTATGTAGAGTAATGACGATATGTTGTCACATGTGCGCACTTACATACGTGATCTCTCAATTCAATTTCAATTGTTTATTCCTTGATAGAGGAAGCGGGATCCTAGTGCTGTCACTAGGTACCCCTGTACAATAACACCAGAAGCATCTGGCAAGTGTGACAAGTATATACAGTATAAATATAAAGGGGCTTACTAAAGCCTAAGGTAGGATATTCCTTTAACACATAATCAATGTTATTTACATAGTATCTGGCCAGTGTGGGGAGGATCATCGTGTCTCCATCAAGGGGTGGCCGCGATCTCTCTTTTTTTCTTTACCATTACCGTTAGCTACTTATATTGTTCCATTTATTAACATTAAATAATATTACTTCAAACAGCCATTTTAATTTTTTTTACATTAATTTTACTACAGCTACAATCAGGGTCTTATTTTCTTCAGTTTTATATCAGTCACTGGTTTTGTAAGCATTAACGAAAACAATGCCGTCTCCTCGTGTGTTTTAATATTCCACGTAGTATTAATGAATTGTATTGTTCATTTTGCACACACAAACATTAATTAAAATAAATATGAACGGTAAATAAGTGTTGCTTTCATATTCTTATGTATAGTAATGACGATATGTTGTCACATGTGCGCACTTACATACGCGATCTCTTTTTTTCTTTACCATTATCGTTAGCTACTTCTAGTGTTCCATTTATTAACATTAAATAACATTATGGTACTTAAAACAACCATTTAATTTTACTACAGCTACAACCAGGGTCTTAATTTCTTCAGTTTTATATGTAGAACCAGTCAGTCACTGGTTTTGTAAACAACGAAAACAAAGCCGTCTCGTCTCCTCGTGTGTTTTAATATTCTACATATTATTAATGAATTGTATTGCTCATTTTGCACAAATAAACATTAATTCAATCAAAAAGACATTCAGTAATAAACAATAATGAATCCTTTGTACATAAGAGAAATGACGCTGTTTACACGATTGTGCACGTCTGAACATTGGTGAGCCGTTCAAACCCGTCGAAATTCGAGTTTCCACCGTCAAAATTTTTAATTGATTTGTTTTTTGTGTGTGTTCCAATAAAAAACGTTGAATTAAAAACTCGCGAAATTTGAGAAGCTACTGTACGACATTTAACCCTTCAATATGTCTTCAAAGAGACCATGAAGCAGAGAAAGTGGTGCTAGTGCTTCCAAGCGTAAGCACAAGTCACTATCTATCCAGGAAAAGGGTGAATTTCCATGGTCCGGAAATTTCCATGGTCCGGCACCGGTCAGGTCCCGAGGTTGCCGGACTAGAGAGGTACAACCTGTATATAGGGTTTGAGTAGCGAAACCCAACTGTCTTTTCTGTATTTATTAAGAAAATATATTATATACAGTTCCAAGTGTATATCACCGTAACTTAATCACTGTAGCTATGAGTGTTAAATGAGGTTGGAGGCTATATTAAATAGCTCTTCTAGAATACGTCCTGTTGGTGTGAGGGATTGAGTGAGAGTGCCTGTAACCCGTCGAGGGAGAATGGAAATATAGCCGACGTCCTCCTTCACGGGAAGATGGAACCATCCACGATGGCTCTCAATAGCATCTTCTTCTGGTGACTGATATCAAACTACTGCCCGCAATAGGTGGCCAGAGAACCGGTTACTTAATGCTTAACTCAGCAGCAAGTGACGCGACTTCCCGTGGGCACACCTTAACATGTGCTCTGAACATGCTACCTCATAGCTAGTGGAAAGTTACAGAGGGTGATAGAGTATATAAGTCTAATGTAATTAACCCATTTATATAAATACCTCTGCCTATAAGACACCTCACAGCTTGGCCCAGTAGCCTGGTGGTTACAATGATAAGCTATCCTAGCTACAATGCCATGATTAATCACTGTTAAGCACTAGTCTATCAGCAAATACTATTAATAACAGTAAATCCAGTGAAATATGGCCCCAAAAATGACATCAACTTTAAAACTACCCATAGACATTCTTGGGTATATCCAAGGTGTCATCCACAGATAATCAAGGGCCGCAAATTGTAAGGGCGAGCCACAAATTGTAAGGGCGGGCCGCAAATTGTAAGGGCATGCTGTATGTATATAATATTATATTGTAAATGTACTGTACTATATATACTGAACAGTGTATATATTTTGTCTTCAGATTTTCCAAGAAGACTCCTTATGCTAAACCAATCCCCAAGACTTTCCAAGCAGCATGGAATGCCGCTGGAGGTTTGGATGAAGAAATGGAGGAGGAGAACAGTGCAGTAAGTCGAGTGCTTTTCATTATTGTCTTTTTCATCATTAAGTTTAATGTTCACCTTATCCTAGATATTTCTCACTGCTGACAGAGCTCCTCTAGAACATAGGATATGAGGATCAATTCTCTATTTTCACACTATTAGTCTGACAGGCTTGTAAATTTGAGAAGCTCTACTTTACTTCTGTACCCAATCTTAATATGACCAGTAATAACCAAATTATCCTCTTTCTATTGTAGTTTAAGTACTATTGTATTAACCCATTTAAGACCACACAATATTGTCCAACAGACGAGCTGGGTGGTGACTGATAGTGCTGGCTTGTTCAGCTTACCTGCAAATATAGAGGGAGAAATGGTTTACACAGATGAGGGAGATGAGCTGCCACCTGGGTCTGTTCCTCTTAACACCATCAAAGCAAACTCTATTCTTTACTGTGGTTTCCTTATTCCACTTGGTAAGTACTTTTACTTTGTTCGAAAATATTGTGATGTTTAACTCCTTCATAACATTCCTAATGTATGTCACACAGCCAGGTAAAGGATTAAAATTGCTGCATTTAAATACTAAACTATATATGGTCTTACCTTTTATTCAGGGTGATCCATCATTCTTTCCAAAACATGCAAACCATTTATGCCACAAGAAAGATAAATATGAGTGATGAATGAGGATTCTATTTTATTATATCAGTACATAGATTGTTGCAAATGCTACAGGTTAGCATTATAGGATATTTAGTCAAAGTAAATCGATTCATCAGTTGGTCGACCTGCACCACCACAATGCCGCCTACTCTGTCTTAACCTACCCCACATATAATGCCAGAAAAAATATGTTACCATTCTTTACACTTATTTATAAGAAGTGTTCAAGCTGTCTTTCTCCTGCAGGGGTGGTAATACTCGCTGAAAACCATGTTTGAATGTGTCACTTATTGGCGAGAAGACCTACAGAAATAGGATATTATCCATGTCGAGACATAAAAAGATCTAATACTGTTACTCTGGGAATCATGGTCACACACTATGGTAGGGAGGTGGAGCAGGATAGCCAACAGTTCCAATTGTTTCATTTAAATGACCTACACCACATTTAATAATCCCTGAATTTCTACGTATGAAATGTTACATTAAAAAAATGAGAGAACCAACGCTTGTTTGTCGAGCACCTTTAACTTAGACTGAAGAATAAAGTTTTATGAGAGTCTCTAATAAGTTAATTATTTGAAGGATATTTGCATAACACTTAATTCATCATAAATTGTTTTTACCAACATATATACAGGCAAACATACATTAACCAATCACAATCACTGTTACAAATGGAGTTCATTCGTAAAATTTTACATTTTACGACAAATGGGTTGCCAAGTACCACCAGCCAGTCACTGGGCATGTAGCAGGTTGATTTGTCCTCAACTGTACATCTGTAGGACTGAAAGGGCTAAGAAAGGACCAAAAGTGAGGGGTTTGGACACTGAGGAATCAGCAGGGTGCAGTGGTGTATGAATGATTGGAGAACATGGTGTTGAGGGCTTTCTGGGAATATCACAGGAGTTGAGTGTTTCTTCAGTTGACCCTGGTAACCCAGCAGCACAGTGAGGAAAGGCTTACAAGAATGAAGAGAAAGGTCAACACACAAAAACCATTTATCTGACATATTATATGTGTCACACTGGTGGTTACACTCAAAGATTTTGAATTTACTGACATACTGTACAGAGTAGGCAACTCTGCACACCACATCAAATAATATCCAATGCAACCTGCTTGGTTATGGGATTGATCCTGTCTCCTAGGCTGAAAGCCTGACATGCTACCAGCTAAGCTTTGATAACCATCACCTGACTATAAAGCCCAAAATTCATATATAATTTAATTTACAGAGAAAGTAGCAGGAGATGTAATTCAAAATGCATTTGCCACTATGGAGGAGGAAGAGGCCATATCAGAAATTACTGGTGACTATGAATTTGCTAGAAAACTCATCAAGGAGAAGAATCAACTGCTTAATCCCAATGCTAGGTAAGGATTTTGGAGTGTTGTGACCATACTGTATAGTACTTCTTGTAAATACATTTGAAGTATTTCCTTTTATGTAAATTTATTATTTTATCTTTGCATGCTTTAGATCCACATATGTATACTTTATTTTTTCTTGGAAGTACTCTCTGATATATACTATCAGTGATTTTTATTTTCATGAACTTTAAATACTTTGATTTGTCACTTTGAATAATTGTATTTTAAATACTAATGAAGGAATCATTTCAATTTCCATGTGTATTAATTCTTAATGTTGCTGAAACACACTCACAGTGATTCAATTGGAAACTCTTCTGAAGGTTTTCATCAACAACTTATGAATAAGAAATTTATGAGCTGAATTTGCTGATATATTGAGGCAGTATGTCAGTAATTAGAATAAGATTGATTGGTAAAATTAAAAAGTTCTGATCCACGTTCTCTTTCAACATGAGGAAGAATGGATTTTTATAGCTTATTTTTTCAAACTTTTTTCCTTCTTATATGGGGCAGAATAGACTACATGTAAGTTACACCAGGTACTTACATAGGATGATATTCAAGAAAAATATCCTATACAAGATGTATTTTAGATGCATTCATGGACAAAGTGTATAACAGTTTTTCCATAAAGTTGTGAATATGGTTCAGAGTTTGAGATAGGAAGAGTTATTATTTCATAATATTTCTTCTTCATACACATTTTTTTTTGCAGTAATGATGAGTCTGGAGAGAAGAAAAGTGGAGGGTTCCAGCAGGGCCAGTTTGATGAACAGAACCCTCAAAACACCAACACTAACACTAGTAACAATAACAACAACTTCCAAGGTGGTCCTCGCAACTTCAATGCTTCAAGGGGAAATTTCAGGGGCCATCCTGATGCCGGATTCAACCGTGGGGGACAAAGAGGAAACTGGGTACACAGAGGAGGATCCAGAGGTGCTTATGGCCCAGGAATGGGTGGACCAAGGTTTACAAATGAGCACAGTGATCAGGGTTATGAAAATGATTGGAGTTATGAGAACAACAGTAATAGTGATAACAACATTAATAATGGTGGAGGAGAACGAAGCCACATGGATGACAGAGGACAGAACTGGATTCGAGGTCGTGGTCGAGGAAGAGGTCGTGGTGGATTCAAAGATTTTAATAACTTTGAAGACGACGAACGTGGAAACTGGGGCAGACCCAACCATTGGCGAGGAAGAGGAGGAATGCACGGAGGCAGCCAAGATGAGAATACTGGAGGCAGAGGAGGGTTAGGAGTAGACCATAGTAGTGGTGGAGGTGGGGAGAGGGGAGGAGGTGGGGGTAACTGGCACAGTGATGATAATTCATGGAATAATAAAGGTGGGAACTTCAATAACAGCCAGGAGGGAGGATGGGAGAATGAAGAAGGAAACTTTGGTGGACACGGTGGACGAGGATCTTGGAGAGGACGTGGAAGAGGGTTTAGAGGAGGAGGGGATTTCCAGTATGGGGGAAGAGGTGGAAGGGGAGATTTCCAGAGAGGAAGGGGAAGAGGTGGGGATTTCCAGCGAGGGCGAAGTAGGGGAGGGCTACCTCGTGGAAGAGGCAGAGGTGAAGGAGGTGGTGGATGGGACAGTTTCCAGTAATATAGTTTTCCATACACTGGGTTTCTAATTCATTTAGTCATGTGAGGAATTTTGGTGTTCAGGTTTGTTGAAACTATTGTAGGTTCCCAATTGATGATTCTGATATGCCCTTTTAGTTATATGATATATTACTAAATAAGGATATTGCTGTGTGTCACTGCAGGAAATGACTGTGTTTGTACTGCCTGGTGCAATGACTCAATGTTTTGCTCATTTCCAGCAACAATGTCATAAGGTAAATTCCAGATATTATTTTACAGAAATTAATGTTTGTTTTTGGCCTGCAGGTAATGCAAACGAGCATATTTAAAAAATATATATATATATTGTGTTGTCACAAAGTAAACAACATACCTGCATCACCAGTTAGATTCACTCATTTGATTATATCTTATCATCATCATCATCAGAGGATATTATGTACAAATTTTACACATCCATCATGCTTCAGACATGTCCAGATGAGTATGATCATACCATTCATTATCCAGTAGGTTTTAGTACAGTACTTCAAATCATTTTCACTGTCAAGTTTATATTGCAATTGGTGACAGCAATCATGGTCACTGGTACTGGGAAACACTTGCTGTCCACGGCCAGAACGTTGGTACATTAGCTAGAGTGTACTGAACTTGCTATCATTGAAAAGTTGGCTGCTGATGCAAACTGAAACTAGGGAAACTCTTACATAAATGCGAATGATGCTAAGGCAGGATTAAATTTAATTATAATAAAATCATACAATTTTGGGGGGATGAATATAGTGATTAGAAACAACTTTATATGTGAAAAGTTAGTTTTGGTACAAAGCTGCTTTAGACAACATACCATGGGTATCTCTTGATGGCAATAATATATTGAATCCTGATAACATCTTTGTTTTGTTTTACAAGATTTGATTGAAGGGTTTCAAAACTAAAACTTGATACTTGGTGTGATATTGCTAGAGCACACTTAATTAAAACAGCCATCTTCTCTGTTGGTTGTATGTGGCCTTGTAGATTTTGAGGCTGTTTTTTGGGTAGAAAAAGCACCAACAGCCAATAAATGTAGTAGTATGCTTACAAAATGCTTCAGCATTCTGGCCTGATATTACTTGTATTGCAGTTTATATGATTTATGTTGTCTAAAATTATTTGTTTAATAAATACTTGCCATTCTCCATTTTGCTTTTTGTATGTACATCCACAGGGTTTGAATTGACTATTTTATCACATAAGCAAATAAAAGTGTAAATATTTCACTCTTGTAAAGCTTTTCCTCACTTAAGTACCAGGTGGTCAACACACACTTATTCCTCCCCTATCATATATCCCAACTACTCTACCAGATGTGTGCTACAGTTGTTCCCTCCCACAGGAGAGACCTAAGATAACCGTCCAGAGTACCCATCACTTCATATAACTCCCTAGCATCAAGCATCAGTAGGATGTTTATTGCTAAAGACCTCTCTGTTGTGTTTCTTGATTATGTAAGCAGATGTCCATCACTCCTCCATCCAGTACTTCTATCAGCCCATTTCTCCACATCGTGTTTTGTTCCCCCTGCCCCCTCTCTCATTCCAGTTACCCTTAAATTATTAACAGCTTTTAATACTCTTTCACTTCCCATTCTCCTAATCCCCATACATCCTAAATGGATCCTAGCCAACTTTCCATCCAATACCCCTTTCACATCCACCATGTTTTATTCTTTGCCTCCTGTTCATCTTGAAGAACACGATGTCTACTTCCAATGTGCTTCTTTCTCTTGCACCCCTACAGTATTGTCTGATCAACTATTCTCACATACAATATATCACCATCTTTGCTTCTTTTAACACAGTTTCCTCTCACTCTATACTTTTTTCAATACAGTAGAACGTCGACATAACACAAGATAAGTTCCAAGAGAGGTCGCTTGAGAGAAACACAAAATACTAAAAAGACTGAGAGTTTACCCAGATGCACCGCAGCCCATCTCTTAGAATAAACAAAACATTCTTTTTGTAGTATTATGTTAAAACAAACACTCATAAATCAACATAGTTAAAATTATGGGACGTGAAATGGTCTGTTTACTAGAGATCAGCTGATGGGAAGATTGGGGGGGGGAAGAGGTGAGGTGATATGTTTGATAGTTGATGCCAAGGTCTAGTGCTTATTTATTTATCTATCCTTAAGAGTGACTTTAAGTTTTTCTCTTATAAAATGTCACTGAACTGACATGGGAGAATATAATTAACATTCCTGGAATTCTTATAAGATAGTGATTAGTTTGAATATATACATGCTATAGTTTGCATTAGACATACAAATTTTAGTTCTAATTAATTTTATTACAAAGGGCTAAACAAAAATTCTCGTGCAAAATATATGAAGTTTATATTCAAATTATTTGCTGTCTTGCAAGGATTCTAGCAATGCAAATTATATTCTCCTAACTTTAGTCTGGGAAGATGGGGGAGAGGGAGGGAAGTGACAGTGACATGTTTGTCAGTTGTGCCAAAGGTCTAGTGAAGTATTTGTTTGTTTATTTATGCCCTTTTGATTGAGTTTTTGTTTTTTGCTTATAAAATGTCACAGAAGTGACCAGGGAGAATATAATTTACATTGCTGGAATACTTATAAGATAGTGATTAATTTGAATACAGGTATAATCATCCTATAGTTTGCACTCGACAAAAATTTTAGTAATCATTTAGTATATTATTTTGACGTACATGTACAGGACGGAGGTGAACAGTTACAAGGAGGACCGCAGGACAAATACACCTTTGAGGGTGCAAGTCCCTAGGCCAGAGCGAAAAAAGGAAAAATAGAAATAGAAGGAAATGAGCTCAAACCATGTCGGGAATATCACGCTATAGCTGCTTTCCAGCTGGAGTGAGAGTCACTCACGCCAACAGTGGGGAGGGCAAACTAATGCTCGATAAACTGAAAACACTCGTGAAATGTTGTCGATGATGTCAGTAGCGGATGGTCCGGTCAGCAAAGTTGGCCAACAATGGCAGCAGAGAGAGGGCAAGTCTTCACAGCTACAGGTCCGTTGTTTGTTGTTGAGATTGTCGGACCGTAGTCCGACACAGGTCTTTGCCTGTAGGGGCCCATTTGGTGGTTCCAGCTGAAGCTCTTGAAGCAGCCAGACCGGAATTGGGATTTGGGGATGGAGGTCCGGCAGGCTGGAGTATTTATACGATTCTGCCGGATCAGGTAGAGAGATCTGAAGTGAGCAGCGCTGCTGATTGGCTGAGATGAAGGCGGTAACTGGCCAATCACCGCACACTCCGAAAGTGAGGCCCGGTCTGTGGAACTCGCCGCTGGTTGGCTGTTAAGCGGACGGCAAGTGACCAATCAGCAGTTGTAAGGAGAGTATCCACTACAATACAAACCCCCTCCCATCCGACCGCTGCAGGAAACTTGTTGTTGGCAGGGTTGTATTCCACATGTGAGACATAATTTACAGGGGTGTGAACCACTCGGCTACTATGGGTGACGACTCCGTCTAGTGACACAAAATCTGTGAAAGAAGCAAAGGGAGAAGGAGGGCTGTAGATAAGAGAAGGTTGAACAGGCAAAGAATGTGGTGCTTCTCTCGCGGCAGGTGCAAAGTCCTCAGGGGCGCCGGGTGGGGTATATGGGTCCATAGAGCCGGATGCAAGATCCTCATCAGGAGCAGGGTCCACGTCAGGAGCATGGTCCATATCAGGAGCAGTAGGTACCTGAGGATGAAAAGAGGGTACCCAGAAATGTTGTGGACAAGGTGGTGCTGCAAGTGGTAACTGCGGGCAGACTGGTGTAGGGTTTGGTTTGTTGGGGGAAATGCTGGGTTGGGGCCCATCGGGTAAGGTGGCCGGCTTCACTCGATCTATGCTGACGGTGTCGTGTTCGCCATCGCGAATGATCTTAAGGGTCCGTCGAGGCGTTGAAGTGGGTTGCAGAGCATCGCGCCTGACGAAGACATACCGGCGTTGAGTAGTGTAGGAGGGATGTGTGTTCAGGCGAAACGAAAGCTGGCTTTGAACAGAAACTGCTGGCCGTAGTGCTTGCAGTAGGTCGAGGCAGCAGGAATGAAGTGGTAAAGGTCAGGAGAAAGTGAGAAGTCCGGTAGGTGAAGGCTCGCCTAGGGTGAGATCCGCTGGGCTGCAGTTCATGTCCTCTTTGTGTGATGCGCGGATGCCAAGGAGCACTAAGGGTAGAGCATCAGTCCAGCTGTAGGGGTGCTGTGCCTTGATGGCGTCCTTCAGCTGCTGATGAAACCGCTCTACCATGCTGTTGGATTGAGGGTGGTAAGCAGTAGTGCGGTGCCTGGAAGTGCCAAGGAACTGTAGGAGACTATGCCAGAGTTGTGACTCAAACTGGCTCCTCGGTCAGTGTTGACAGTCATGGGAGGACTGAAACAGGAAACCCAACCAGACAGGAAGGCGTGGACGGCTGACTCTGCTGTAGCATTTGGCATGGGAATGACTTCTGTCCACCTGGTGAAACAGTCAATGCAGGTGAAGATGTCGGTGTTGCCACAGGATGCTGAAAGAGGTCCCACGAAGTCGAGGTGCACTACCTGGAAGCGTCCTTTGGGTACAGGAAAGGTTTCAAGGAGCCCGTGTGTGTCGATGTATCTTAGAGGACTGGCAGGCCAGGCACTGGGCAGCCCATTTCCTAGTAACAGCCTTGATGCTGGGCCAGACGACACATTGCGTCAGAAGGCGCTGAGAGGCAAGTTCACCTGGGTGGCTTAGACCATGGATGTGGTTGAAGATGAAGACATGTTGCACCACAACTCTGATGTTCGCACTGGAACCGGGGAGTTCTTGGAGGGCGAGACCTGAGGAGATGTCTTGTGTGCTGCAAGGTCTTCGTCGTTCTTGAGCTACGGCGAGCTGTCTGTAATCCATGGGTGGAGATGAGGGAAGAATGCTGGATCTACAACGATAGAGGGTGTTCGGCGATCTTGTGGCTGCCCTTGATGTGTTGGATGTCGCTGGTGAACCCGAGATTTAAGCCAAGTGGTGAAGAACACGAAGTGTATGTGTCTGGGAGGCTGAAGCGAAGGCATGGACGAGGGCCTGATCAGTGAAGATGGTGAACTGGCGGGCCTCAAGGAAGATATATTGCCAGGAGCTCTGATCGAAGGCTCTGTACTTGAGTTGAGGTGGTTGAAGTTGTGAGAAGAAGGCAATGGGCATGAGAGTTCCGGATCTTCTGTTGTAAGATGGCGCCCATGGCAGTGGAAGAAGCGTCTGTTGTGAGAGTGGTCCGGGCATTGGGGGCAGGGTGAGCCAGCAGGGTAAGGCATGTGATATGCTGCTTGATAGTGGTGAATGCTGTAAAAGCCTCTTGAGTCCATATGAGAAGCTTGTGAGATGTCTTGGGGAGTCCCTTGAGAAGATCGTGGGAGGGAGAGAGGATGTTTCTGCTTGCAGGTGCCTGATGACCTCGCTTGCCTCATGCGGCCAGGTGGCCCCTCGCGCACTCTGTGGTCGAGGTGGAGGGAGGCACTGATTCGCGTTTTACTGGCAGCTGTGGGCTTATCTGATCTCCAGATTTTTGAGGAGTCGGCTGTCACCTGTGACTCGTGTGCCACTGCCAGGGGTGGTAATTCAGTTTTCCATTTGCAAATCGCAGATTCTGGTCCAAATGGGTGCTTTCTGCGAGCATGGTCCTCAGAGCATTATTTTGGATGACTTCTGAAAAGCAGCCATTTTGGTCTTCTCTCCAGTCCAATGAGTGCTGGAGCACCCTTGTAATCTACCAGCGATCTGATGGCGGCCGTGTAGTAGGCAGGCACATGAAGGTTTGCTCCTGCAGTTGTGCTGGTGGGCAACCTCATTATATTGTGTCTGCTCTTCGTCCTATTACTGAGATACTTTCGAGTTCGCGGCTTGAAAGTGAGTTTCTGATCAAACCAGATTCCAAGACACTGGTGGGTGTTGGTCCAGACTACGGCGTGTTTTTGTATGGAAACTCTTGTCTGGTGTATGTGCAGGTAGCCATCGCTTTCGGCTTAGCTGGATTTATCTTAGGGTAAGTCTGTTGCACTCCTCTTCTATAAGTTGGAGTCGCGTGTTGCGTGGTGACTGAATCTGTTTGATCCTCTTACTATAAGCTGTAAGTCATCTGCATAGCATAGGAGCCCAGCTGTTTGTCTGAAAGAGTTTGACAAGATTTTCCATCAGGACATTGAAC